GTGTTTTCTTGTGGAGGCCAGGGGGCGCCAATCATTTTCACTTAATTAGGGTATAACTGCCATTTAATAAAAACACATATTGCCCTCCTCCCCCTTTTAAGAGAGTGTTTTATGATGTTTAAAACAGCGCCCCACTAAATCATGTGTGGTGGATGAGTGTTGAAAACATGGTACTGCACTCTGTTGTCTGTGTGCAGGCCAAGCTAGTTAACACTGTCAACCGACAACCAGCTATTTGTCAACAATGACTGGCAGAAATATAGGTTAAATATATCTCAGCTAAATATAGCAGAAATAATATATACATTTTTCCAAAAAGTTGACACGATTTTAGGACAGCCCAAAAAGTTTAGCTCGGAAGGAGCACAGAAAGTCACCCAAAAGATCCAACATTAACAAAATGCTAACTCAAAACTAGCTCCAAAAATATTTCTAAAAGAAAAGAAAATAGAAAAAATCAGTAGTTTGATGAAATAAGTGACAAAATTAGGATAAAGAGAAAAAACAACTCTCCAAGAAGTCGCTTAAAGATCAGCAAAAATATTTAGTAAAAGTTTACATTTTGGTTAAAAAAAAAGCTCAAGTTGGAAAAGGTTAAATAATAAACGGGACAAAACAGCCAGTGAAAATAAAGGAGTCTTTGTTGGAGTCAAAGTTTTATCTGGGACTGACGTCTGGACTTTTCCTTTCAGGAGTCTACAACAATGACAGGAAGGTTGCCATTAAGAACCTGAAGATGGGCACCATGTCAGTGGAGGCCTTCCTGGCTGAGGCCAACATGATGAAGAACCTGCAGCACCGCTGCCTGGTGCGCCTCTTCGCTGTCGTCACCCAGGAGCCAATTTACATTGTTACGGAGTACATGGAAAACGGTAGGTTGGACGTGTGTGGCCGGGACGGTTGACTAATATCCTTATCAAGGCGTAGAACGCAGGGGGAACTCCTCGTGTAGCAGAAATAATCTGAAGAGACCCCGCTTCCTTTGTCTGGGTATTTCCGTGAAACCAGTGCTGATTTAAGTGTAAATTCCACTTAAAATCCCTGTGTCATCACGGCAGCTTCTCTCTGTTCAGTTCAGGTAACACAAATATGTCCAAACCTGACTGAAAAGATCATTTGCGTAATTTTAAACACCAGGGACTTGAGCCTGGAGCGAAGACTACCACGGCGTGCTGTAGTCAGAACACGTTGATCTGTCTGTCTGTCTGGGTGAGAGAACATGCTCCAACAAAAGCCTCGGTGATTTTTCAACACTATCGTGAAGTTTTTACAAGTTTTTTTTTTTTCCACTTCAGTGACTCACGTTGAATCGGTCGGGCCGCACCTGCCTCTCCTTGATACCAGATTCTGGTTACTGTGTGGTATCAGCTGTGACTGGACATGATTTTAAACCTGATTCACACTGGGGTCACATGACACAACTTCCTTTTATTATATGGCTTTGGGCAAGATGTTTTTGCAGAATGATCAGTTTACGGATTACGGAGTCAAATATACATTTACTCAAATAAACATAATATACTTGAAATGCAGTAATTATTCTGGGAATGAAAGAAAATGATTTTAAAAAAAGTCTCAGCTGGTTAAAAACAGCGACAATTGACAGCTAAAAAATAAATAATAAAAGATTCAACCGAAATTTCACACAGTGTATCTTTAAAAGTTTGCATGTATCGTCATGTAACGATAAAATCGATACAATTGCGCGTCAATTGCGCGTCGATTGAAATCGTGCATCAAGGCGTAAGGAGTAGGTTTCATTATCCGAAAAAGTCTCTGGTCATACCATGGCACTACACACTCTAGTACAGTAGGTGGCGGTATGCGCCTAAAACCGTTGGTTGTGTTCAGTTGATAAGGTTCATAGACCAATGTCAGTTGGTGAAGTTCACAGACCCATGTCAGTTGGTGAGGTTCACAGACCATGTCAGTTGATGAAGTTCACAGACCATGTCAGTTGATGAAGTTCACAGACCATGTCAGTTGGTGAAGTTCACAGACCCATGTCAGTTGGTGAAGTTACAAGACCATGTCAGTTGATGAAGTTCACAGACCATGTCAGTTGATGAAGTTCACAGACCATGTCAGTTGATGAAGTTCACAGACCATGTCAGTTGGTGAAGTTCACAGACCATGTCAGTTGGTGATTGGGATTCTACACAATGATCAGTGGATTTAGTCACTAAAATCACATTGTAAAATAAATGAATCGTAAATGTCATCGTATCGTGAGTTGAGTGCGTCGTTACCTTCCCACCCTCCTGAACTCAGTCGTTTGAGAGCGAACATGAACTTTCACACTTTTTCCCCATGACCTTCCAGGAGGTTTACTGGTGTTTACTCTCCAGGAGGAAGTCTCTCATGGAGATTTAAGGTTTTCAAACCGGTGAGGCTGAATCACCGAGGTATTGTTCACTGGGACTTCTGATGAGACCTGGAACCTGTCCAGGGTCTGTGTGATGGTCAACATCAGCCTGGAAATGTGAGAGGTCGGAGCGGTAAACAAACAACACTGAAGGTTGTTTATTTTCAGTAGCTAAAAACCCGATCATCCCCTTTTCTTACGCAACAAATTGTAAAGAAATGTTCACAATCAAAAAACGACCAAAACGACATCGCAGGAGACTGTTACCGATAATACACTTGAAATGTTATGTCAGTGAAAATGTAGGTTTTTTCGATTCAGTGATAATTGTTGCAAAACCTCATTATTAAAAACCTCAATGAAAAAAAGAAAAGAAACTGACACTAACAGGTGGAACATATTAGAAACTGGTTCCATGTTTGTGAACTTTATCTGATGACAAGTGTGGAACATACACTCACTGATAGTATCTGAATGGTATCATCTGCGTATAGGAGAATAACGATACATAGAACATTCTACCAAAACCTTTGAAGTTAGTCCGTGTTTTATTCTCCTTTATTGACTCTTTCTATGACGGAAATATGAAGTAGAGCCTTTAAATATAATGTGTACAGAGTATTACAGTGTTATCTGTTTGTTAAGGTGTTTTACTTCCTGTTGTGGCTGACATCTCCCTCCAGAGGTGCAGGCAGGAAGTAAACAGGCTGGGTCATGTGACCACGCACAGTCATGAACTTTTCTATCAGTCTCTATTTGCTAGACAAAAAACAAGACTTTAAGAAGTTTTTTTTTAAATATCTCGGTGATTTTAACCACGTTAATATTTATTTATTGACATTTGTTTGACATTTGCAGGAAAGAAAAACATTGGTTTCTCTCCAAACAAATTTTCTCTTTTTTTTTTTTAATGTCGCAACATCCATAGAGGATCGTTGTGTGTACGACACAACAGCAGCTTCACAGAGGTCCTTTGTGAGCTCTTGTACGTGGACTGGCCTGTAAACCAGCAGCGGTGCTCCTCCATGAGGCCGCCTCTGTGTCCGGCCTCCGCACAGTTGGCTCTTCTGTTGTCACCATGAAGGACGCCTTTCAGTTCCCATCTTTTCTCTTTTGTCCCCTTCCCTCGCTATCAAAAACAACAAAGATGGAAAAATAACAGGCGTGTCATCCAGTTTCCCCTTTGTAGCCTCCACAAAGAGCCGTCCCGCCCCCAGAGCGCTCAGGCTGTCTCCTGAACCCTTGCCTCCTCTTTCCTGTTACCTTCATTCCTCCTGAACTATTTCCTGTGGCTGCTGCGGAGAGGCCATTGTCTAATCCCGATCATGTCCAACACAAAGTCTGCTGTCAGAAGCTGTACATCTGCGTTGACTGACGCCGCTGCACTTCCTGGCTGTGATGTGTTCACTGACTCAAGCTGCTATTCTGGCCTGAACGGAGTCTATTTTTGTCTGTGTGGAGTCAGTTTGGTTTGACTTTTGTCTTTAAAGAATGACTTCATTTTTGGGTTTTTTTTTAGGCACATTTCGTTTTCTATTTTTATCTTCTGTAAAAAAAAATCAAAGAAAAATCAAAATCAAATCTTAATAAGGGCTTGGTATTGTTAAGAATCTCACGATTCGATTCGATATCGATTCGATTCGGAGAGGACTCCTCTATCGGCGTAGTACAGCGCTCTGCGGTATATGTCTCTGTGTGTGGACGTGTCAACATCACCGTCAGATATGGAACAATATATAAGACAGAACGACCATAAACATCTCACCTACACACTATTATAGTAATAATACATAAACACAGACAGGACCAGAAATCGTGATATAAAATTAACGATCTTAACTACCGACATGGACCAACTAAACCGCCGATTAACACCACAGCAGCAAGCTCCTCTCTTCGGCACAATTAACGTTGTAGGTACCCATCTCAGACAGCAGGGGGCACTGTGTTCCACTGAACTTATGCTGTCCTTCAAGACAAGGGGCTCGATTCGATTCATAAGATTGCTAAATCGGTATTGAATTGGGAGGGAATGTATTGCAATGCATTGATTAATCGATATCTGTGATTTTTTGTATGATGAAACATTGTTTTGTTTTTTATAGTGGACATAATGTGTAATTCACTGTGATGTCTTACAGGAAGCCTGGTGGATTACCTGAAAACACCAGCAGGAGGCAGTTTGGCCATGAACACCCTGATAGACATGTCGGCTCAGGCAGGTTTTTTTTCTTTTTTTCTTTTATCGTCTTCTGTTCTCTCTTCTGTATATATGTGACATATATTTTCATATTTTCAGTTTAGTCTTTTAACAAAAAGGAAACTTCTATTCGTAATTCTTTAGATCATTTTCCAAAACCTTTTCATCAAAAAATCTTTGGTAACTTTTAACTTCATTTGTTTGAACCTTTTACATAATTCTTTAGATCATTTCCAAAACCTTTTCATCAAAAAACTTTTAACTTCATTTGTTTGAACCTTTGGTTATCGTTTGGTTAGATGGTTTCAAATATTCTAAACTTAAAAATATTTATATCCTGCTTGAATAATGGTAATTCTGATATTTTTTATATTGTGACTTTTTAATTGTTGGTAACATCTGTTAAATTTATTGGCCAATATTCTGAGCTTATTATTTCTAGCTACCTTAACGTTGGTTAGTTTTGGCTAAATGTGGCAATTAAAAAAAGTAAAAATAATATTTTGTCTTAATTTAATTAATTAATTTTCGTGATCGTACCGTGTTAACTTTAAGGTGTTTGGTTAGTTGTTTTATTTTCCGAGATTTACGTACTTCCAGACCAACTTAAAATTGTGTTTTTTCACTATGATGACAGTTTGACTACGGTTACACTGGTGAAAAAAAAACAATATCTCAATATCTCGCAATATATCGCATGGTATCGTACCTTGGAACAACATTTACTTATATTTTTCCTTATTATTTAGGATTGTTTCTAAAGTACTGTTTTAACACTTTAATTTACAGGGACTTTTTTTTGCCCCTGACTCTGTCGTTAATGTACAGCAGGTCGAAGGAGAACTGTTGTGAATTGTTCTGTTCGACGATTGTTAGGAAAACAGTAGCAAAGAAGCGAATCGTTGAGGAACTGATGATTGATGATCACTCATGGTGGTCTGCTTCTTTTAATGGTACAGTGTTTAAAGAAACCATGACATACTGTGTATGTGTGTGTGTGAAAATGGAAAACAAAACCACAGCATGACAGGCTGATGGTCCAGAGTCTGGTCCGACCAAAGATGCTTTGTTGGGATCAGGCTAATTCTCAGAGTCTCCGCGGATCCTTGTGGTCAAAGACAGACGACACGCACTGTTGGCATCTGTGGTGAAAACTGGAAGCGAGCAACGCTACAACCATTATGTGCTGAAGCATTAAAACGGAACTGATGAATGAGTCAACTTTTGCTGCTGTATTGGAAAGTTTGTCCGCAGAGATTCTTACCAGAGCAGCGAGGCGTGAAGCTTCGAGGGTTGGCGTCAACGTCAGAGGTTTGTGAAATACCGTACAGAAACTTCTCAGGTTTCTGGCGAGACCTTGAAGAAGACCTCACACCTGTGTGATGGTTTCTGTTGTCGGGAGAACTTGGAACTGAAATGTGGGCGGTGACCTCCAGAGAAATGACTCCAGCGGTTGAACTGAATGTCATTTAATCCACCAATAATGACGGGTTCTGTCTCTCCAACAAAAAACATACTGATTTCACACAATCAGGAAATAGTGTGATGACAGGTTTTAGTTTGAGGAAGTAACACGGTCAGACAGTGACCTGTGGTTGAGGTAAACTCCCTGGTTTTGGAATTGTGTGGTCATCTGACAAAAAAAAAAAAAAAAGTCTTACACTATACGGACACACTTTGATGGTTTCCTGTGATGTGCTGCCCCCCGCAGGTGGCAGAAGGAATGGCCTTCATTGAACAGAGGAACTACATCCATCGAGACCTACGAGCCGCCAACATCCTGGTCTCTCACGAGCTCATCTGTAAAATTGCCGACTTTGGTCTCGCGAGGCTCATCGAGGACAACGAGTACACGGCCAGAGAGGGTACACAGATTAGGTTTAGGTTTTTTAATTGGATGGGATTTGAGGTGTTGAAGGAAAAACTGTGCTGCATTTATGGGTAAATGTTGTGTTAATTCCCTGACATGTGAATGACGAACTCTATACTCTATCACTGGTTTCCACCTGAAGTAAAGAAAGATCACGAAACAAAAAAAATATACTACAGTACTGCAGAAAAAAATCAAATTTTTTACTAAAACTAATACTATACTACTAATAAAATACTACCTTTTAGACAGGTTTTAATTATCCTGATACAAAATCAAAAATAACATTCTTTAAGATTCTACTGTAACCCAGTGGTTCTTAATTATTTTCTGTTTTAAGATTCTACTGTAACGCAGTGGTTCTTAATTATTTTCAGTCATGCTCCCCCTTGAGGACAGAAATGTTATCACACCCCTCCGCCCTATCCCCCCTCTGACCCACACCCCCACAAATTAAAATACTAGTGAGAACCTGATAACATGTATATATTTTTATCTGTACAAACACTGTATGAATTGCTGCCACCTAGTGGCTGGAGGCTTATTATCATTCAAGCGTTACAGCAGTGGTACATTTATCTCCATATATGTGCCATATTTTATTGGAAGCCCCTCAACTCACGCCAGCACCTGGCACCTCACCGCCCCCCCCCACCCCCCCGGGGGGCGTGCCCTGCTATTTGAGAAGTACTGCAGTAAACCGTTGTCTGCATAATTGCACAGTCTCAATAAATATTTTTATGAAATATTTTCCCAGTGTAACAACATTTGAATTACGATCATTGATATAAATGTCTGGTGCGTTCACAGGTGCGAAGTTTCCCATCAAGTGGACGGCTCCAGAAGCCATTAACTTCGGCACCTTCTCCATCAAGTCTGACGTGTGGTCCTTTGGTATCTTGCTCACGGAGATAGTGACGTATGGACGCATACCTTATCCTGGTAAATACTACAGCTGTGTACATGGTTAACCTTAAAGCAGGGGTGTCAATCATAAGGCCCGCGGGCTCAAAACCGGCCCGCTAGGATGGTTGAATCCGTCCCGCTTGATGAATTTGGAAAGTAAAAAAAAAAAAGCACACTCCACGTTCATGATGTTTTGTAAAATTATATTTCATTAAATCAACTTCTTTACTTTGGAAACTAAGGGTAAAACATGGACTTATGTTATGATTGTACTGGTCCGGCCCACTTGACATCGACTCGAACCAAAATGAGCTTAAAGTCTCCGTCACGATCCGATGACTAGACTAGACTAGACTACAGGACAGGTTAAAGTACAAACGTTACCGTCTCTAACGCCGTTCTGCTAATTATGACCTGTTGTGCAGGAATGTCCAACCCAGAGGTCATCCAGAACCTGGAGGTAGGCTACAGAATGCCAAAGCCAGACAACTGTTCGGACGGACTTTACAACATAATGTGCATGTGTTGGAGAGAAACGCCAGAAGACCGGCCGACGTTTGAATACCTGAGGAGTGTTCTGGAGGATTTCTTCACTGCTACAGAGAGACAGTACCAGGAATGATCCAGAACAAAATCAAATAGAGACACGAGGGCACAAACTGGTCTGAAGACTGGTGCTGGGTTTTGAAGTATTTGTTGAAAAGTACACCCTTTTATTAACAAGTATCATTTGTATGTTGTTTTTTTATGGTAAAATGACTCGATGGATACGAAGCAGAGCTGACGATGAGTCGATGTCGAGCTGCGTGAATGAAGTGGCGTCAGGATAACGTGGCTGAATGATTAGCTGCTCTGTGTGTAAATACTGTCATTTAGAGTCGCTGTTTAAATAATAATAAATCTTCTGGCTATTTGTACACATACTGGAGAACGTGTGTAAGGAGTTTTGTTTCACTTTACTCTGATGAACACACCCCCGGTTTTCACTAAGGGTGTGTATTGGCAAGAATCTGACGTTATGCTGCGTGTCACAATATATATTGCGATACTATAGGCACAATGATATATTGATTAAAAAAAAATTATAATGTAACAGTAGTCCCAGTGTGACCCTAGTCTCAGACTCTGCCCCCCCCCCCGGGGTGTCCCTGTCCCGACCATCCCCCCCCCCCCCCCCCCACCCTNNGGAACAGAGGGATCTACATTTGGAATCACTAGAGAAGAAAGAAAAGAACAAGAACATGAACCAACACCAGGAATATTGGACTGGGAATTGGTGAGAAAAGAAATCAAGAACTGATGGAGGAGGAGATTGATACAGGATCGTGACACCATATATTGCAATATTTCAGTTTATCAATATTTTCTTACATCCCTGTAAAATTACAACAAATTGAAAATAAGTTATAAAAAATGTCCTTGACTCAACTCTACTATATAATCCACATTTATTCTTCTTTAGTTTCCACTCAGTTGTGGAATTCAGATGAGGAAGTGGGAGTGGAAATCGATTCATTTTAAACTCTGGTGTGTTTCCCCAACATTCGTCTTTGAACATGGTTGAAATAAAAGGAAATATCAAAAACAGGCAAAGCAGGGGAGTCTGTAAGAGTTTGTATGACTCGACAACATGAGCTGATTAAAAATATAATTAACCATTGACACGTGGACGTCAGGTATAAAGCTAACAGAAAACCAACTTCACTTTTCTCTTTGGAACAGTTGCATCATATCAGGGTATTTCCTTACCACACAGTTTATTTAATTTATTTATTTTTCCATTTGAGAGGACTTTTTTAATAGTTCATATCTGGAAAACTTTTATTGTTTTGTTTTTTTTATCAACATCAATGATTCATTGTTTAGAGGGAGTTCACTTATATCACTGTTTAACACTGCTTTTTGTGGAAATACAATGAGATATCATTTAGCCCACGCCTCACCCCGCATATTACCGCCCCCTGCGGACGGCTTATGAGATCGTACCTCATTAACTCCAACTCTCCGCCTCTTGTCGCCGTTGTTGTCTCCTGCGGCGTGAGTTCCGAAAGCCCGGCTAAAAACGACTTTAAAATGGCGCTGACTTCTCAAGGAACAAAGAAAAAAGTTTGCTACTACTACGATGGTGAGTATTTTTGCTGAAGCACTTCGAACACTTTGGCGGTGCGGTAATACCGGACACTTAGCGCCAACAAAAGCTGCAGCTCACATCTCCTGTTAGCCGCGCACGGTTAGCTCACTTAGCTTAGCTCGTGCTATGGAGCTTCTCTCATCACTCCGACACACAAACCCACCGACGCTCACGGGACAACAGTGCATCGATAAAATTCGCTCAGTTTCTTTAGTTCCGCTGGAATCACTTCTTTGAATGAGTAAAATCGTGTATCTCGCACACGGAGAACTTGGAACATCTTAGTTAACGTAACCAGCTAGCAAGCTAACAATGGGGACGGAAGTTTCGGTAATCGCCACAATGAACAGAAACACAATATTGACGTTACATTTACATATTCAAACATTTCAAAGCTGACCGTTGCGTAAAGATATCAAAATCAAATGTTAGTCCATTGATACACATCATATGGTTCGCGGGCCAGACGCTGCCGGTTAGGAGGCTTTACAATGCACCTCTTTTTTTATTTTATTTTTTTTTTAAACCAGTACATGAGAAACTATCAGCCAGTCTAAAGTGTTCCGAAAGGAAATGTCTTGTCAATAAAATGAAATTAATTTCGTACATGATGTAAGAACCCAAAAATTAAAGGATAATTTCAAGTGAACTGGGTAAAAGTTATTAGTGGAAAAGCTAAGCAGGGCAGAAAAATACTGTTGTTGAAAAATGGCGACCACCGCCCCCCCCCTGCCCACAAGAAACGTTAAGCAAATACTCAGCCAAAAAGAGTTGAAAAAAAACACCCTTAAAACAAGCTACACCTTTCTTTTTTTTTAACCCCCCAAAAAACAAACCACATCATATTTAAAGCACATAAATGCTAACGCTAATTCACTATGGTGTTCAACACTTCATGTCTGATTTCAGGTGATGTTGGAAACTACTACTACGGCCAGGGCCATCCCATGAAGCCACACCGGATACGAATGACGCACAACCTGCTGCTCAACTACGGCCTGTACAGGAAAATGGAGATATACGTATGTACCCAACGGCTACAGACTGATTACAGACATCAGTACAGACACGTTCACCCAACAGATTTGTTAAAATGATATGGTTTTTTTTTTTGCGTTTACCTTGAGCAACAAGTGAACCCTGGGAGTGAAGGGCCGGTTGTAAAATGGAAGACTGTTTAGATCAGGGGTCCCCAACTCCTGGTCCGCGGACCAGTACCGGTCCATAAGTCAATTGGTACGGGACACAGAGTCCACAAAGTGGAAAAAATTGTACTTAATTTTGACTAATTTACCTTATTCAAAGAAAGTCCAGTCATATCTATTTACTTTCTTTTTAAAAGATAATTTAAAGATAATTTGTCAATATTTTAAAATAACAGGTCATTCAGTTCAGACAGAATAGAGTCTAAAAGATGTTTTATTTTGAAAATGTAATGATCCATCAATGCTCAGTACTTTGGTACCGGTCCGTAGTAACAGGTGGTACTGGCTGACCAGTCCTTGGAACCAAAAAGGGGTCAGGGACTGCTGGTATAGATGTAACTAGTCTGTAATACATGTTTCTGAAATTGATTATTAAAAAAAACCTTTTCATTTCTCAGGTTAAGAAACTCTTTACTGTTTGCTTTTAAACCCCCCGCGGGCCGCGCAAAACAACTTGGCAGGCCGCATTTGGTCCCCAGGGCCTCGAGTTTGACACACATGCCTGACGTGATCGGTTTTCCCAGGACAGATGTTGATACTTGACCTGTGTGTAACGTCAAATGACAAACCTGTGTCCTCTGCTCATCAGCGTCCTCACAAAGCCAGCGGCGAGGAGATGACCAAGTATCACAGTGACGACTACATCAAATTCCTGCGTTCCATCCGACCAGACAACATGTCGGAGTACAGCAAACAAATGCAGAGATGTAAGTTCTCCGCAGCAACCGTCAAGTTCGCGAAGACGAGTTCAAACTGCACCGTGTGTGACGGTTCCTGATTCATTCTTCCTGTTACAGTTAACGTGGGCGAGGACTGTCCCGTGTTTGATGGATTATTTGAGTTCTGCCAACTCTCTGGAGGCGGTTCTGTTGGTGAGTAGTTCTTTAAACAACAGCTGCAGTGGTGGCGCTGTTGTTGTTTTAGTTTTATGTTCCATAGTAGCATAAAGAAATTTAAAAACTAACCAGGGTTTAAATTTTGTTAATTTCATCGTGTATTTTTTCATTAAAATCTGTTGATAATTGATTTGTTTGCTGCAAAATGTACTTAATTGTGAAAAATTAAGAATTTTTTTTATTTTTAAATTTGGTGATTCTAAAACTTTAAACATAAATTCTCCCTCATGTTTGTTTTTCCTGCTTACCAATGTTGTAAAACAGGTGTCCCCAACCCCTGGTGTGGGGACCACTGCCGGTGCATAGGTCATTTGGTACCGGTCCACAGTGGAAAAAATGTACTTTAGCCGTTACTGATGTACTTTACCTTCATTAATTACCCTCCCCCCCTTTTCTCCCCCCACCTTCTTTGTGGCGTAGCTGGTGCCGTGAAGTTGAACAAACAGCAGACCGACATCGCCATCAACTGGGCTGGTGGTCTTCATCACGCCAAGAAGTCGGAGGCTTCTGGTTTCTGCTACGTCAATGACATTGTTCTGGCTATTCTGGAGTTACTGAAGTAAGTGTGTTCTCTTATATACAGGAAATATATACAGTAATACATGTACAGTTCTGTTCTCCACTTGTTATTCAGTCATGTGGATGTATGTAAGCTTATATATATTTTTTTTTTTCTGGCCGAGAATTGTATATAACTGTTTTGTAGGTGTCCATCATTTTAGTGCTCATTAGGATATTACACTTATAATCATTTTAATTAATGATTGTAATCATTTTTTAATACATATATCACATCACCAGTAGCCATAGCAGAACTGCTGGTCTCAGTGGTCGCCAGGTCGTCGAGGTGAACAACAACATAGTTGGGCTCTATTGTTGTCCCTCTCCAGTGTGGCTGGTTAGCCGACGTCCTTTAAGTTAGTAGCCACTGGCGACGGACGCCCGCTGACTTTAACCTGAATTAACCTTCTATTGTTTTTGCAGGTACCACCAGAGGGTTCTGTACATAGATATTGACATCCATCATGGAGACGGTGTGGAGGAAGCCTTCTACACCACGGACCGTGTCATGACCGTGTCCTTCCACAAGTACGGAGAGTATTTCCCCGGCACAGGAGACCTGAGGGTAAGCTTGAAAATGATGGGGTTATTTTAAAAGAAGTCAAAAAACAACCACCATGTGACGGTTCTTAAAACAAAGTCTTCCATGTCTGTCTGCAGGACATTGGTGCAGGAAAGGGTAAATACTACGCCGTCAACTACCCACTGAGGGATGGCATTGATGACGAGTCGTACGAAGCCATTTTCAAACCCGTGAGTGAACAATGTTTTTTGTTTTTTGCCCAAAAATAAATTGTTTGCTGCCATCTGCAGTCAGGATCAGGATCAGTCTTAAATACCGGTGTTGATGTGGGTGTAGATCATGGCCAAGGTGATGGAGATGTACCAGCCCAGCGCGGTGGTGCTGCAGTGTGGAGCCGACTCTCTGTCAGGCGACCGCCTCGGCTGCTTCAACCTCACCATCAAAGGTCAGTGGTTGGAGAACAGTTGTCTTCTTCTTGTTAACACAGAAATGAGAAACTGAGTTATTGTTCTGTTGTGCTCAGGCCACGCCAAGTGTGTGGAGTACATGAAAAGCTTCAACCTTCCTCTGTTGATGCTGGGTGGAGGCGGCTACACCATCCGTAACGTGGCTCGCTGCTGGACGTACGAAACGGCCGTAGCCCTCGACTCCCCCATCCCTAACGGTGGGTTTTGGTCCCACGTGGCAGTGACTGTTGATTTATTTGTAGAAAAGTCCAATGATCTCAGTCTGTCGTCATGTTTTTTTTCATTTGACGTTTTACTTCGATGTTTAACAATAACTGACATTCACTCCATATTCACTCACTTGTTTTTTTGTAATGATTCCACAGAACTTCCATACAACTGTTTTTGTTTTTTTTAATGATTCCACAGAACTTCCATACAACGACTACTTTGAGTATTTCGGACCAGACTTCAAGCTTCACATCAGCCCGTCCAACATGACCAATCAGAACACCAACGACTACCTGGAGAAGATCAAGTAAGATTAGAAAAAGGAGCAGATATCTTCAACTTTCAGTGTCTTAGAGCTAATGTTTCATGCACCGTCACTGCTCCGTTCTTTGCTAACGCGACACGTGCTGATGTTTCCTGAAACTTATCTGCAGCGCCCCCTTTTGAAAATAGAACTATTGTTAAGCCCTCCCCTCATGTTGATGCATTCACTGCTACTTCACTGAACTTAATTCTCTCTTTTCTCCAAAATAAAATAATCAATACATTTTTCCACTATGGCTAAAAATATAGGAATATTGTACTGGGAAATGGTGATAAAAAAATCAATACACTGATGACTGAGGATATTGATACGGTATCAGGAAAGGAAACATCGCAATATTTTAGTGTATCAGTATTTTCCGACACCTCTGTAACACAAACAGCAATGACCTTTTCAACAAAAGTCAAAAAATTAGGCGTCAACATAACATCTGTGCCCACAAATGATTTCCGTTTGTTCTGTGGTTTTCACCTCTGAGACTCTCAGGTGTCACGTCTGTTCTTTCTTTCTTTTTTTTTTTTTTTTTTAATTCCTGCGTTTCCTTCCAGGCAGCGCCTGTTTGAAAACCTGCGGATGCTTCCTCATGCTCCTGGGGTTCAGATGCAGGCCATCCCAGAGGACGCCGTACAGGAGGACAGCGGTGACGAGGAGGAAGAAGACCCCAACAAACGCATCTCCAGTAAATACCCTGTTACCCCGTCCATGTGACTAAAGCACTGATTTCTCTGTTGGCGCTCCTGATCCGACTCTTCTTCTCTGTCGACACTCAGTCCGCGCTCATGACAAGAGGATAGCGTGTGAGGAAGAGTTCTCCGACTCCGAGGACGAAGGTGAGGGCGGTCGCAGGAACGCCGCCAGCTTCAAGAAAGTAAAGCGAGTCAAAACCGAAGGTGAGAAGGAGGGAGAAGAGAAAGAGAAGAAAGGTGAGGAGGAAACAAAAGGTATCTACCACTTTTTTTTTTTTAACCCTCATCTGATTTATCCATCGCTTGGATTCAACGATAGTTGATGATTTTTTTTTTTTTTTTTTTTAAACATCCTGTCCCTGTGGCTTCTCTTTGAACAGATGTCAAAGCAGAAGAGAAGGTGCAGGAGGAGGAGAAAATGGACACATCAAAGTGAGAAAAAAAAAAAAACTACATTCATTTGTTGTATTAATTAAGAAGAGGCCAATCAGCGGCATTATAAAGTAGACTGTAAATAAGAAGTGGATGTGACCTTGTGGGTGCACGGGGTTGTTAAACATTTGTCATTTAAACGTCAATGCGTCGGCTGTTAAAACACGTGTGTCAAACTCAAGGCCCGGGGGCCAAATGCGGGCCACCAAGTCATTTTGGTATGGCCCGCAGAAGCTTAAAAAGCACTTAATGAAGTCCATGTTGAGTTTAACCTGATGAATTAATCTTTTTTACAATATTCCTAACTTGAATAAATAATAATTAGGGATGTCTGATAATATTAGCATAATTATCTAATCTGTAAGAATCGTTATCTGTTTTTCCTCCAATAATTAAAAAAAAAAAACAATAATGTAATGCCTGGGTTTTGCCAAATGATGTGTGATCTAAAACTAGTTTGGCTGTATATTAAAATGAAAGTCACTAGATGGCAGCATTGCAGCTCATTTTAATAATCAGGCAGAATGCTGGTGCCAGCAACTCGTACAGTGGTTTGTACAGATAAATAAATAAATATGACCAGGCCTGTATGGTTATCGTTTTATATATCGGAAATTAGGTGAAATATCAAAAGTTGAAAAGTTAATATCGGACGTCCCTAATAATCATCAATTTGAGAAACATTTATTAATACGTTATAGAGTAGTTATACCTGTACAGTCTTCTGTTTACAACCAGCCCTTCAAGGGGGACTGCCTGTACAGTCTTCTGTTTACAACCGGCCCTGTATTGGTGATGTGCCCCCCCCCCCCCAGGGTAAATGAGTTTGACACCCCTCTGTCTTAGAACATGAGAGGTTTTTTTTGTTTGTTTGTTTTGTTTTCAAAACTCAATCTTCCCTGTCATTCCTTAAAGTTAAAAAATTAAAATCAAAAACTCTCCGTCACGTTCACGCTCCGGTGGCTAAAATCTGCTGAAGCTTTTATTTTCCTCCGATCTTATGACAAACACCAGGAGGTTACATCCATTTTTTTTTCCTTCCTGCACAGTCTATAGTTGTTCATGTCCTCACTCTGGATCCTTTAGGCCAAAAGAGGAATCCAAGTCGCCCTGAGGTTGTCAACACGCTGAAGCCAGTGCAGCCGCTCAGGCCTGAACAAAAAGATTTCTTTTTTTTTTTCTCCATGTTTTATTGATAAGGTTTCTTCCAGGCTGTGACTATGGAACTTACTGAAGGTCCGTTTCTCTTTGTAGAAACTTCTAGAAATGTGATAAGGATCTGTACACGTATTTCTAGGACAACTTTTTAACTTTTACTTGTAATGACCTTGAAGTCGAACTGTTATTTTGTTCTTTATATATTTCATGCTTTTTCCTCCTTTTTGTTTTTATTTTTTTTTTAAATTTTTTTGTGGTTCTGAACTTTTTGAAGCGACACCTTGTGGAGCCTCTCTGTAAAAACAAAATGCTTGGTATGTGTATGCTTTTATATCTGATTTAATTTATTTAAATCATAGATATTTTTTCACTCTTCTCTCGTCGTCCGTCAAACCCCACGTTAGCCCCTGTGCCTTTTGGGATGTTTAGTTGAAGCATGTTTGTACGATAGAATTTTTTTTTCTTTTTTCTGTAATACAACTGTATAAGTGTTTGTTTTTTAATTTTTATTTTTTTTGCCTGCTTAGTTCATCAGTGATGGTTGACACCAGTGTCACGTACAGTCATGTGTTTCAGGCGGTTAAATGTGAGACTCGGATATTAAAGGTTTGGATCATACCTAGGTTGTACCCAACGTAGAACTCTGTCGTCTTAAGGTTTCATGCAGTACTACTAGTACTCCGAACATGAAAAAAAAAAATACAAGTACAAGGCAGGACAGGAAACAAGATTACTTAATTTGTTGTATATATTTGTATTCAGAAACTTACAAACGTCGTCCTGGTGTTGGTCCACCACATTTTAAACACCAATAAAGATTTACATTAAAAACATTTCATCAGGTCTGATTTGGGAACAGTTAAAAAAAAAAACACACAAATGGAAAATATGTGATGTATTCCTAAGGTAAGTAAAAAACAAAAAAAACAAACCCAGTACATGACATTTTTGTCGCCGACTCCCGGCCCACGACTTTCTTCAGAATCTCTTTGTGTAACAGGCAAACAGACGCTCCACAGACGATGTGTCACAGCCACTGACTGGTCTCCACTGCAGTACTGCTGCCGTCCAGCAGGTCGTCCTGCTCTGCCAACTCTGCTTCCGTGTCCGTCTGTGGATGCGACACTGGTATCGATGTTTCTGGTCTTTGAATACGCACCTGAAAAAAGATACAACAGGTAAATGTAAAAAAAAAAATTAATAACTAGAAAATGAGGGACAAACTTGATGATCTTGTGTAGATGGAACGATACAATATTAGTCGGGATTTATTTTTCATAATTTTTATTTTTTTTTTTAACCAAATGATCTCCATTCAAACTGTGAATTTATGGTTTTTTTTTGTTGATTTTTTTTAAACCAAATGATCTCCATTCAAACTGTGACCAAATCCACTGATCTCTTCTCTTTGTCAGAACTGGATCAAATCCCATCACCAACTGACATTGTTCTCTTCAACAACAGAAGAAGAGGAAAAACAGGAAGTGGAAAGAGTTCCACTGGAGAACGCTGTTGGTGTCTGTGGAACCAGTTCTTCCCACGTTCTGTTCCAACACCTGAACGTCTCTTAGCCTACGTAGGGACCTGACGTCTGGGTTTAATAGTGGGTTTTTAGGAGCATACTGCCACCTACTGGACTGGAGTGTGTAGTGTCATGGTATGACCAGTAATTTTTTTTGAGATTATTCAGTCTACTTACAACTGGGTGTGTGATTTTTTTTAAATTTTTTTATTTAAACTGATGCAAACTGCCACGCAATTGTATTGAATAATTGTGATTAATCAGGTTAAATTTTTAATCAGCCCTAGTTGTTCTTTTAGTCGAGGCACATCCCCAGCCCTCACTGAGATGTAGAAAGGATTTCATCAAAATCAATTGCTAACGGGATTAAAAACCGAGTTGTATTTATAATAATCATGTGTCTAATCTGACCAATAGGAGAAGAGTCTGGTCAGAGCGTGTCTCACCCTCCTGGCCATTTTCGGCCTCCTCCTGCAGGGACAAAGGTAGAGGAACGACGAGCAGGCAGCGAAGCAGCGGAAGGAAAACACCGTCTCCACCATGGACATGCAGATTAGCGGCACCCACAGGATGATCGTGGTAGCCTGGTTGTCACAACAAAAGTTCAGCAACAGAGAATCTCACATCAGGAAATATTTTTGAAGGAAGTCGATGTTAAAAACTGCGACGGACAAATACTGGTATTCAACTTACGTAGATACGCGTCGGGTCGAAGGGGCATTCGTACGTGATGCTGGACGAGCCCACGTCTTTGATCGTGTGTGAGCAGTGTGTTAGCAGACCTTTGCCTTTACTCAGGATGGCACTGACCATAGCAACTGACACGCCCGCGAAGGAGGCAAGAGCTAGGAGTCCTCCCACGAAGCTGAAGACCAACAGGACCCATTTCTGCAGCGACGACATGACGTAAACACACATTTCAACTAAATATATATATGTATATGTATGTATGTATGTATATATGTATGTATATATACAGTATGTATGTGTATATATGTATATATATGGATGTATATATACAGTATGTATGTATATATGTGTATATATGTATATATGTATGTTTATATATGTATATATATGTATATGTATGTATGTATGTATGTATGTATATATATATGTGTATATATATATGTATATATATGTATGTATGTATGTATGTATATATGTATGTATGTATGTATGTATATATGTATATATATGTATATGTATGTATGTATGTATGTATGTATATATGTATATATATGTATGTATATATATGTATGTATATATATGTATGTATGTATGTATATATACGTATGTATGTATATATACGTATGTATATATATATGTATATATATGTATATGTATATAAAAAAAAATTAAACCAAGATTTTTAAGATCTGTTTATTCCAACAATGAAGGTTTTCTATTTTTACTGGCTAACCTCTAGCAGTTAGCCATCTGTATCTTAAACAGGGATGTCACGATACCTTCCACTCACGGTACGATACGATTTTTTTTTTTACTTTAAAGTTTTTTTTATACGAACTCCAGGCAATTTTTGACCAAATACATTGATCTTAATTTGAAATAAATAAATTGTCTCAAACTTTTAAATGTGCACTGTGTCAAATTTAGCTTGATTTTTGGTGGCCAATTTTTGGTGCGTCTCCGTTTTTACCCATCTGAGACTCCCTGGAATTATTAATACATTTTAAATATATTGTGTTTATATGAGTAAATGTATATTTAACATTGTCAATGGTTTTTATTGTTTAATCCGGGTTGTTTGGAAGGTAGATCTCAAGCCAAAAAAAAAAGCTATTTTATTAGCATTTATTATATTTTAAAGCTTTTTAGTCAATGGTTTTTATTGTTTAATCCGGGTTGTTTGGAAGGTAGATCTCAAGCAATTTAGTCAGCATTTATTATATTTTAAAGCTTTTTATATTTCTCTAAATGTTATATATATTTTTTATATTTAAATCTATGTTTTTTCTGTCTTTTCAGGGTATTTGCTGAGCTAATCTGCGACCCAGGTCAGTACCATGTGCAGCGTGACTCTGAACCACCTGGTCTACCTCTGAAGCTGTTTGGTTTGGATTCAATTTTTTTTTAATTCTCTTTCGTTCGTATCTCCGTAGATTGGAGCTCTCGTTCAAAAACAAAGGGCAGGTTGTGACAGGTGCCAGAGAACGACAGATATGTGAGTCGAGTGTGGGAGGGGAGAGTTGTGCCAACAACTGGGGAGCGCTTATTTACCAGGATCCGGTTCTTCTTGTTTTTAGACAAGACAATGGCTGTTATTCCACTCATGATGCCCTGGGAGACACAGGAAGTGGATGTTCAGTTCAGATGACCCCCAAAAACCGTTCCTCACATTACACCTACAGGCGTCCATGGAACAACAGTTCTAGTACTCACCACCAGGCCTGCCACAATGGCAATGACATTGGAGATGGCGTAGACCATGGTCCGGGCCTGACTGTGGACGTTGATGTGCCTGAGGACGGCTCCATGCACCAGTGCTCCCAGTAGGAAGTTGACATGTCCAACCAGCACCAGCGCCAGGCCCATCTTCATCAGGGCCTTGTTGTCCTTGAGGCTGGCGCAGCAGATTCCTAGAAAGCAGTTGAAGACAAAATGAAGTTCTTCTTGGACTCATCGGTTCCAGTTCCTTCACTAGAATCCTGGCAGTAAATCCATGGCTAAAGTAGGAAATGTTTCGGTTTCTATCCACATCTATCCAAGTTCTCGATGGATTTGATATCTTTCTTTATCCTTTTTTCAAACTTTCTCTGCACCGACATTCAGTCAACGTCTTCACTTTTCTTTCACAGTGTGAAGTTTAAATCTATGGATGTCCGATATTTACCTTTTGCCGATAACCAATATGCCGATATTGTCGAAACACTTAATTTCCGGCCACTGTATGAGTTGCTGCCGTCAACATTCTGCATACAATCCCCTGATTATTGAAATAGATTAATAAAATGAGCTGCAATGCTGCCATCTAGTGACTTTCACTTTCATATACAGCCGTTTTTCCCCAAAACTATTTATAGGGCACACATCATTTGGCGAAACCCAGACATTGCGTTATGAGGTTTTTCATTATCAGAGGAAAACCGTTAACGATTCTTACAGATATAACATAATTATGCTAATATCGGACCGATATGATTACTTAGGTCAATAATTAGGTGATGTTTTGACCTTTGAACAGGTCAAATCATATAAAAAAATAAAATATTGTGAACTTCTCTGTCTGGAGGCACAAGAAGGAAGAATGCCCTACCCCCGATCCCTACCTCCNCCTGCAGCTGCCAGACTGGACTTCGGTTCAAGAACCTTTTTTGATCCCTTCTTTAAAAACGTAACGTAAACATAAAAGTCACTGTAACCTCCACGTGTGTCTAAACCACACAGAATAAAGCTCTGGGTGTGGTGTTAAAATCTGAACCCAGCCTGGGGGGGTGAGGTGGGGGAGGGGTCACAGAGACACACAGAACTACTACTAACTTTCATTGAAAGATACGAGTGCCATGACTGGGCTTTTAAGTCAGAGTGAGTTTAAAAAAAAAAGGCAAACAACAAACATGTGACTGAACAGGTTAAATACACACAGTAATTATGGAAGTACTGTATGTATACGTTTATAAGTATAAACACAAATGTACTTGAAAGAAATACTGAACTAATGAAGTCGTACCAAGTCATCAGACACAGCCGTCAATCCTTGTCACTTTTTAATTTAACGACTTCTGGAAACCAAACAGTTCTGATATTTATGTTTATGTAACTTTATCTGACGTACGTACATGCAGTGGCCCTGTAGGGGGGGAAGCTTGGGGGAGGGGGGGCAAAGGGGAGGGTGAATCAATCCATCACTTCCCCTAATTGATAGATTGATAGTAATAATTAGAGATGTCCGATAATATCGGCCGACGGTTGTTAGCATAATAACCTAGTTTCTGCAAGAATCGTTATCAGTTTTAACTCTGATAATGAAAACCCGATAACACAAAGCCTGGGTTTTTTGCACGTAGAGTCCTGAGACGTTTATCGCAGTTTGGGGGGAAAACAGCGGCAAATATCGGTATTAGATATAAGCAAAAAATGTATATCCCTACTAATATAACCCTACTAATAATTAAAATTCAGTACAGTAAGTAGAAATATGTTCATGTTGCTCAGTGTGTTACACAGAGGCCCCTGTCATATCCTTCCACAGCGCCCCCTGCTTACGAAGGTAAATAATTGTAAAATTGTGAAGTTAAAGCTTTTTTTTTTTAAATAAACATTTACCATCTGTAGATGATTTTATTGGTGAGTAATACTTCACACTTCACTTTGCTATGGTTTGATAATAATGTTAGCACAGAGTGTGGTACGCTGGGTAATGTGTAAATGTGAGAGTATAATCACAAAAGCTCTTTTATCATCATATGTTACAGTCACAGGTGAGTTTTTTCATATTATCACACTTAGCTATCTATGCTAAAAATGTGGCTAACGTTAAGCAAACAAACGGCTGATTTGTTATTATCATGTTTTTCCATCTTATTTTCTTGTATTTGTTTATAATTAAACAGTTTCTTTTGACTCAACAGGAGCTGTTTATGTTTTGAAGAAAAACGAAAACAAACAAACTTTAATCTACGTTTCAGTTTAATAACGCTGTATATGAGCTGTTTTGTAAAAATCGTTTTTTTAAACTGGTTGGATTGGATTGACATAACCTGAAAAACTGTTTTAATGAAGTCGTTCAACCGACTCCAGATCATCTGGAGAAAACCTTTGACATCACCGCTAATCCTAATCCTAAACCTAAACCTAATACCGCTAATCCTAATCCTAATCCTAAACCTAAACCTAACACTGGCCAATCACACGCCTCTCATCTGACGGCAAACCTTTAAACGTCAAACTCCTGGTTAGACTTCTTTATTTCCAAGAAAACTTTAGCAGTTGTTCCAGAAGTAGCTTCACACCGACAACCAAATCGCGCACCCATGCGCAGGGATATCTTGCGTCATTATCTCCCTCCCCCCCCGCCTCCCTTTTTTTATTTTGCCTGTAGCGTAAATATTTTTTAATGCACAGCTTTCTTCGCTAAAAGTCAGCGCTACGTAAGTTATTTAGCGATATTTCGGTTAATGTCTGCATCGTCAACGATTTTCCACGTGGGTAAAAATAAATATAAATTTGAAATAATAATAATAATAATAATAATAATGCACCCACACGTCTAAGACAACAGTGAAAGATAAGAAACGTACATTAGCTCCGGTCCGGGACAGCTGAACAGACCACGCCTAAAAAAACCCACTCACACTCGGCGGCACAAACGAACTACAGCCACATCTGTCCCGCCATGTTGTAACAAAGTTATAACTTATTATAAACGTACCTGATGTCGTCATGCTGCTGTTGATGTCTTTCCTAGGTCATATTAATGTTTTAAAATCATGTCCACCACGTCTTTGTCTCTCAGCGTCCTCGTCCTCCAAGTCAACAGGCGATAACACCCGCCCCCATCAGACCGGAAGCCCCGCCCTTTACCTGCAGAAACGTACCTGTGTAGGTGGGTTTGTCGTGTGTCTCGTTGACTCCGTCTGTCTGTCTGTCAAACTGGTTTTATTTCAGAGTTTAGTTTGTGTTTATTGTTGCATATTTACACATATTTGTTTGACTAATCACACCAGGCTTGAAATATGAGCGGAAATATCGGTGCAGTGTCACCGAGCACCGATGAGCGGTTCTGACGTCACCTATTCATTCATTCATTCATTTTGGATCACTATATCTTATAAAGCAGGGGTCCTCAACCACTGGGCCGGGGACCAGAACCAGGCCTTAGGTCATTTAGTGTTGGGACAGAAAGAATAAAAAGTTGAATTTCAATTTGAGTTTTTTAAAATAAACCTTATTCTGCAGCGTTTTTTAATTTGAAAAGCGAACACTTCTGTCTCAACACTTTATGACTCAGTTGAAGCTTTTGTTTATGCTAACCTTCAAATTAACTTTAGAAAAAAAAGATACAAAATAATGTGTTGTGGTAATGAGTCAGTAGATGGCACCAAAAACTACCACCAAAACAAAAGGCTATAAATAAATAATAGAATTAGAAAAATAGAAAATAATATTTATATTTACATTTTATATATTTTTTAATTATGATGGAGAGAAATTTTGATTGGCATAAAACCATGGTCCAGGGTGTGGAAAAAGATTGTCAACCTCTGCTGTAAAGGGTCATTTCCATAAATGTTGTCATCTTAAATAAAGAAATTTCAAGTCACTAAAATATTCATTTACATAAACTCTACGGACACAATTCAGTTTTTATTTCAACATTTTTTCCAAGATGATAAATGTTTCAGGATTGGACACCTGTGCTTAAAGCTGCCCTTCACACTCCAGCCACATGGTGTCAGTCTTAAGCATTGGTTAAAATTTTATTTTTTTTATTTATTTATTTTTTACTATGCTATAGTAACATCTTTTATATATTTGATAAAATATTTGTTAAATCCCTAATTGTCACTTTCAGAACCACGTTTGTTTCAAGTATTTAAGTCATTTCTTAGTTTTTCTTCCATGGGCCTGGAAAAAATCCCAGTACTGGTTAGTTAACCAGTCTCATTAACCAGTACTGGTTAACGAGTCTAAGTGAAACTGCCCTAAACTAATAAAACGTTTGTCCCTGCAGAATTCTACAGCCTCGAGGTTCAAACCTTCTGAATGTCACAAGACAAAGCCCTCTCACGCCCTCTGCTGGACAGGAGGGATTTAACAAGCACCTGACAGCAGTGTGTCATCAGGCCAACTGCCCACACCTGTGGCTCCTGCTCCTTATTTAAGTGTCACTCTGGGCCTCAGACCAGTCAGTGTTGGCATGGACGTCGGACATGTGCGTCATGGGGGTCGTGGAGGTTTCACTCTGTGTTTTTGTTGCACATTTTGTTTGTGTTCTCTCAGTGGCAGGTGGCCACGATGTCACGCCGTTCAACAGGTTTCCAGGATTGCTCCCACGTTTTGATCCTTTTCCATTTGACGGCAACTTGGAGTTTTCTCCGCACGACGGGATCTTCAGCTCCTGGAAAACCTGGGATCCTGAGTTCCACCTGTTTCCGGACTGGCCTTCTATAACAACCGCTCCACGGATACACCTGTTCTGCAACGAGTCCCACCTGTCGGTGGAGGTCGATAAGAGACTCGGTGGTGTCACGCTGGCCGCAGACGAGGTGCAGCTGGGCGACGACTGCTACAGCAACGGACAACGAGCCAATCAGTTTGTTTTCATCTACAGCGTCGATGAATGTGGAACTTCTCGTGCAGTGAGTCAACGATATTTAACTGCTACTTTATTTGTACTTTTTCCTCTAAATGTACTTGTTTCTCACAGTTGCAGGACGGCTTACTGCGGTTCCGCAACTCTCTTAGCTTAAACCTCCAAAAACCTCTGCCCTCCTCGGTGCAGATCCCTTCCACTGTCCACATTTCCTGTATGCCGAGGAGGTGAGTTTTTTTGTTTTCTTTTTTAAATCTACATTATTGTTCATCATTTAAAGCCATAGATTCTAACACAGGTTGTTTCAGGACCTACTTGAGGGCAGCAGCTCCAGAGGGGGGCAGGATCTTCTACATCAGAGCAATGAATCGTAAGTATGGCTGTAACGGTACATTCAACTGATGGGACATGATTCAAGGTTTTATTTTATTTTTTTTTTTTGCGATGAAGAGTCATTCAGTACATTCAACTGATGGGACACGAGTCAAGGTTTTATTTTATTTATGTTTTTGTTCACGATACGCTTTATCATCATTTTTGTTAATCAAAATGAGCTCAAAATGTAATTTATTTTTTGAACTGAAGAACTCTGCAAAATACCCTCACCAACTGATCTGGCCTTGTACACCTCATAAACCAGGTGTGTCAAACATACGGCCCGAGGCCAGACTTGGCCTGATAGAGGCTTTTGACTTTTTGAGAACGCAGCCTACTCCTTAGTACTTGATGAGCGATTAATTATAAATAATAAATAATAATAATACATCGTTACATCCCTAAATGTATGTAATGAAATAAGTCGAGGAAGAAAAGGTGAGTTTGTATCTACAAGGTTACTTTTCCACAGCGTCTTGGACAAATGCAGCTGAAACCAGGGTCTATAAAAGAGGCCAGGTCGTCAACGTCCAGGTTTCTGCCAGAACTGAACCCCGTCAGCAGCTCTTCATCCAGAAGTGCTTCGTGTCGGCGTTCCCAAACCCCCAGGCCACGCCTCGGCATGCGATCATCATGAATAAAGGGTGAGCTGCAGGTCGTGGGTCGTAGTTCATCCACTTTATCAATTATCAATATCATCCCGGAGGTTCTTTGTTCCAGGTGCACGGTCCCTCTGGGTTCTGTTCATCCAGTCGTACGGTTTCTGCCGTCCGGCACAGCCGACGAGGTCAACTTTGTTCTGAACACAACTTATTTAATCTCTCAGGTGAGATTTTATTTTTTGTTTTTATTTGAAACTGTTCTCCTCCAGATGACCTCTTGTGACACGTTTGTTTCCTGTTGAAGCTGTACGTCCACTGTAGTGTCCTGGTCACAGACCAGAGTGTGGATCCTGGTCTGAAGTCCTGCAACTACAATCTGATCCAGTCCAGGTAAACGTTACAAACGTTGGGACTGATTTTCAGTCTTACAGTTGATAACCTGAGTTTCCTGTTTCAGATGGGAGGACTTGGCTGGAGATGTGCAGGTCTGCGAGTGCTGCAGTACAAAGTGTAAAGGACCGGCCGTCAGACATCTGATTGAAGGTCAGTGCTGTGGGATCACAGGAACCGAAGTCTTCTTACTGGACTTTGACTGCCCCGTGTAGAAGACCAGCAGAGCTCAGCTAGTTTCATGTAGATTTAAGTAAGATTTAGGGATGTCCGATACCAACTTTATTTGTCGATATGTCGATATTGTCCAAACACTTAATTTCTGATCTCGATATCGGCTGATAAAATATAGTGGTGGTTAAGGAAGTGCTGCCTGTTCAGTAAGATGATGGTTTAAACTAAAGGCAGAAGACATCAGTGACAATTTATTTTATGTACGCCATCAACTGGTGAAACCCTGGCACTGCGTTATCAGTAATGTAATCAACCGTTTGAACCATCACACTTATATTCTCTTCAGGTGAACAGATGATTGGCTGAACCTTCTACCTCTGACCAGGGGTCTTTAATGACTATGGATTTTTTTTTTTTTTTTTTTTTTTTTTAATTCCTTTTACTACAAAGCCTTTTGGAGTATATCAAAACTGCAATATCTGTCTGTCATTTTAGGCCACAAAGCTACAGTCAGTACCGGCCCTTTTGTCATTGTTGACAAAGACACGGAGATGACGTCAGAACATGACTTTTCTCGACCACCGCTGCCTTCCTCCGTTACTAGCTCCAAGTTGTCTGGTGCTGCTGTAATGAGGGAAAACAAAGCTCCTGGTGGTCCGGGGTCCAGGCCGCTCGGCTCTCCACCCCAGGCTGTAGTGGTGAGGAAGCAGGAGCCGGTGGAGAAAGTGACCGTCTGGCTGCCTGGACAAGTGGAGGACACTAAGCAGATGAACACAGTTAAGGTTCAAGACATGGAGACGGTTCATGTGAAGGAGAAGGACGTGTCAAATGATCTGCCACAGACCGCTGTGTCTCATTGGCGTGAGGACAGTAACCATGTTCACGCTCAAAACCAATTAAACGCCGTGGCTCATTTATGGGACCTGAATATTCTTACGATGCCTGAAGGATGGCCAATTCCGCCGCAGCCTGATGATGGACCTCTAAGACCCCGGTTTGGAAGATCTGCAATGTTTGGCTCAGAAGTTCCTGAGGTCCACCTCCTCCTGCCAGCTGACGTGGCTGACGTTGATCCAGATCTTAACGGTGATCAAACGAGGGACGAAGACGCAAAATGGTCCCAAGAAGAAATAAAGGTTGACCCAGTCATTCGTTCAAAACTGCAGTACTCCAGAGGTGAGGATGGCACCCAGGTCCTGAGTTACGAGGAAGACGTGGTGAAGCAACAAGAGAGCAGAAGTACAACCAAGAGATGTGGGAAGGAGAGGATTATGGAAAGACGAAAACCTCGGGGCAGACTGCAGTCGGCTTTCCTGGATCTGCTGAGGTGAGCTGTTTTTAAAATGAGTTTGAACAAACTGTTTGCATTAGCATTATGTAATGTAAGAATTAGTTTTTCCTCTGATAATGAACCTAAAAATAGGGGATAAACGGCTGTATATTTAAGTCAAGAACACTAGATGGCAGCATTGCAGCTCAGTTTAATTGATCTTATTCTCAAACACTGCTGTTAAATCTGATGGAAAATTCAAAATCAGTGTGAAAATGACCTTTATTTCTTTCTCATTCATAGGAGGATGGACAAAGCAGAGTAACGAGTGATTTTGACAGTTTTATGTTGTACTTAAAAATAAATATTACCAGTAAGCAATATACTGTTACCATTATTATTATTTTTTTTAATTGAAGGTGATTATAAGATCCCTTATTCAGGTCATATCATGTTCTAGATCAGTTTACCATTTTTTTTATTTTTATTTACTTAGTGTAAAATCCTGGTTTCAGCTTATTTAGTTGAACACAACACTGATACACATGCAGGATTTGAAGTTTTTTTTTTTTTTTTTTTCTTCGTAGCCATCTGCCAGCAAATAGGCACAAGTTTTCAGAACAATTAAGTGAAACTGGATCATTTCCGGTGTTACATCTGACATGGTCACTGCTTCAAAGTGTTGTTTCCGGTGTGAACTCCAGAGGTGTGTTTCAGTGTAAACCCTCTGTATGTCGCTGTGGGGAGCTGGGCTCTGTACTTCTGACAGTACAGAGGTCTCTCTCCCTTTTACACCACATGCTCAGTGTGTGTGTTTTCCTCTCTCTCTCTCTCTCTCTCTCTCTCTCTCTCTCCCTCTCCCCCCTCCTCCCCGCGCTCTGACCCTGGCGGCGCCGTCACTCTGTATAAAGTGGCCACGCTTCCCCCACGCAGCCTCTTTCACCGGCCACAAAACAACCGTGAGTGTCCCAACTCACTGTTCTTAAAAAACCTTAAAATAAAAAATATAAAAAATACAAAACCTTGAAAAACCTACATAAAAAATCAAGAACCGCAATATTTTACAAAAAGAAAACAAACATTTAAAAAAAAAAAATCGCAAAATATCAATTAAAAAAACAACTAGAAACAGGAAGCCTCCGGGTCAACCTGAAGGAATTTCCACGAAGGATTTTTTTCTTTTTCTTTTATCCCTCAAGTTATTTAATTTATTTTTTTTCTCTCCAAATTTTGACATCTTTGTCAAGCGACTGCATTTAAAACCCAGCGGTCATTCACTGGAGAAGAGAAGCTCATCGGCTCTTTGGTTATTTTTATTTTATTTTTATTATTTTTGAGAGAATCTTCGGCTGCATTTTATTTTTCTTCTTTGAGAAGTCCGAGATATGAACACGGCCAGCGGCAGTTATCCCATGGCTTCTCTGTACGTGGGCGACCTGCACCCGGACATCACGGAGGCTATGCTGTACGAGAAGTTCAGCCCTGCCGGACCGGTGCTGTCCATCCGCGTGTGCCGGGACATGATCACGCGACGATCCCTGGGATACGCTTATGTGAACTTCTCCCAGCCTGCTGACGGTAAGAGTCCTCTCGCTATTGGCAATGTCACCGTAGTTTTTCAATGTCAACCTTGACGATGTGTGCGTCAACACGGCCATCACCAGGTTAGTTACTGTTGATGACTGCAAATGAATGAACGACGTGGGCTTTCAGCCCGGTCCAAACACGGCCGTGACCCACATAAACCATGTCCCAGTTCTTGTCGACTCTTCAAAATGTGTCACTGCTATTGTTAAAGAACGTGACCCAAATGTTGGACTGTCGTTGTAAACCCGAGTGTATGTGATTGTTGACGTATGATAATAGATATAAGCTCCAGAATTACCATAAAAAACAACAAACATTATTCATAAATCATTAATGATATTTAGGTTAAATGTTTTTTAAAAAATATTCCTAATGAAGCTGAGGAATGTCAAACCTGAGCCAGCTGTCAGTGTCCATCTTCCAGCTGTGGCGACGGTTTAGCAAGCTAGCTAAAGTTTCGCTAAGTTCCGAGAAGCTGTACACCGCTGACAGAAGTGTGTAAATTAATTATAAATTACGAGCAATATTATATTTTAAACCATCAAAAAATAAATAACAACATAATACTATAAATCTTGTTTGAACTCATCAAAAAATAAATAACAATAACATAATACTATAAATCTTGTTTGAACTGTGTTAAAACTAAAAGGTTTATTTACATGTCGAAATTTCCAGAATGTTCCAAAAGTAGGATGCGCTAAATGGATGATACATTTTATGATTTTACTTATGAAATTAGTGAAAGTTTGTTAACAGGTGTTGACACATTGCAGTAGGATGCGCTAAATGGATGAAGTTTGTTAACAGGTGTTGACACATTGGCTTTAAATAAACATCTGTCCCAGTGACCATTGCTGACAGGGAGATTTAAACAAAGTTCAGAACCTGAAACGTTCATTAAATGTTTATTTGTACTCATGACATTTAGCTGAATATCTTTGGTTTGTTGGTGAAAACAAAACATCGAGAGACCTTGTTCTTTTTTTAGACACAAAATGACATGTTTCACAATTTGCTGTAGACCAACTGACTCATCATCCAAGCAGAAACATGTGATTAGTGTACTACAGTTTACTGAAACTACTTTACTTTAAAAATGTATACCACTTATAGACCTCTAGAACAATCAAACGTCCCAAAAAAACATGGCCGTGCTCACGGACAGTGGACAGTAGTTATTACAGATGTCAGAGTTTTATGTACAAGCAATACTTTCAGCACTGGACGCCTTCTGTGACTTGAAGAACTTGATTTATGGGTCATTTTTTATAGTAACTGATCTCGCTCCTCTCGTGGAGACATTTCTGTTGTTGACAGTCGTCCGTAGCTAAGACAAAATTTGGCAACAACATCGTATTGCCACAGCTGAATAACAACCTTCTTGCAAAGATGAACTTAAAACACAGCAATCACTTCTGAACTGGTTTATCCAAACATCTAAAGTTGTTACAAATCAGCATTCAGAAGTATAAAACGTCTTCTCAAGTGGCTTCAGAACAGGTGTGGAGTGTCCTATGTCTGTAGGAGCCTGGTGATAATGATTGTACTCTGTGTATACATCTGTTTCTCTTATCATGGTTTAACACCTGTGACCCTCGGTATCAATGCTTAACCAAAAGATGGAGTAACGGTGGGTTTCAATGTGCTCACTTCCAGGAAGGTGGTATCACCAGTCAGGAGTCAAGAGGGAGGGAGAAGAGGCTCTGGTTCAGAAAGCGCCATTTGTTCTTGGGGGGTATAGACACAAGGGGGAGGGCGGGGAGGAGGAGCGGGGCAAGCAACTGTTGAGCGTCCGAACACGTGTCCCTGGGTCAACAGTTAGCTGTTTTTGAGACAAGAAATAGTGACGGTACTTCGTACAGACGACGTGTTGTTACGAAATTTAATCCACAAAATCAGTTGTTGTTTTATTTTGATAAAAACACTTCAACTCTAGATGTTGTCGTAGAAGTATGGCTGTAAAATGATTTACGCAAGGGCTGAAACATTAGCGATGTCGTAAGAAACCATTTGATTGGGTGTTTTTCTAACAAGGACCAAAGAACTTATTAAAATAGGAAACAGTTTAATTCAACAACTTATTTAAGCCTGACAGAAACATTCATGTGGATTTGGGTTGAAGTTTCTTTGTTTTTTTTGTGTGAGTGTGTGAGATCTCATGTTGCTCATCTATAAATTCTGTAATGAACCCATCTTCATGTGTCTGCACCACATCCACAGTAGAATATTCTCTACTCACACTTGCAGCCAGCACATACCAGTCAGGACCCTCTCTAAATATAGAGCTACTTTCAGGGCAGCCCCAATATCTGCCTGCGTATAAAAGCTAAGAGGTTTAATGACAGGACAAAAACCTCAGACTTTACCCCACCTAGTGGTTATTATTTGTCTTTGTTTTGTTGTTGATTTATTTAAATCCATGAGTTATTCTCAAATGTTTCACAAATTACTTTTCATCAGGGATTACTCTCTCTGGACCTTTCACAGACTCCACATTTCGACCACAGCGACACACACACCTTATCTGTGCACAACGCTTTAGAACTACAATTGCAGGCCAAAACCTGCTGATGCCAGCAGACGCAAGGCAGCGCTGTTTTGTTTACCAGACACTTTCAGCTGGACAGCCTAGCCTGTGTGTGTGTGTGTGTGTGTGTGTGTGTGTGTGTGTGTCGTACTGCTAGTGTGGAATCACTGTACAAAAAGGCGTCCAGCCTGTTTGAAGCACTAAAGTAGCAGTTGGACTGTTTAACCAGTGTTTGTCTGTGGATGGACCAGCAGCATGTGTCCAGTCTGATCACAGCACCATGTGCTTTGCTGACCGCAGCTGCTACACACACTTGTCCCAGCTGTCAGACACAGCCCACATGGTTCTACTGCAGTATCTCAACCCAGAAACACGTGTTTAGACAATAGTTAATGAATTGGCAGCAGGAAATCTCCGGAAAGAAAAAAACAAAACAAAAAACACATCAATTCTTTTATTCTCTGTGGATGTTTTCGCTGGTAATTCTGGATAGAAGGGATGTAACGATGGGTTGACTAAAAATTAATATAAATAAGTGACAATTCTCATCGGTTTAAATAACAAATGAATAACTCATCAAGGAGTTGGATGGGTTATCTCAAAAAGTCACTGGTCAGACCATGACACTACACACTCTAGAACAGTAGGTGGCGGTATGCGCCTAAAATCGTTGGTTTTGACCCACTATCAAACCCAGACGACAGGTCCCTACGTAGGCTAAGAGACGTTCAGGTGTTGGAACAGAACGTGGGAAGAACTTGTTCCACAGACACCAACAGTGTTCTCCAGTGGAACTCTTTCCACTTCCTGTTTTTTCTCTTCTTCTTCTTCTTCTGTTGTTGTTTCATATATTGACAGTCAACCAGGTCAACCAGTGGTTTTAATAGAAATTGGAGACTTAGAGTAGGTATTGACAGAGGCGTGACATACACGTCACTTCATGATGATTTCACAGTTGTGTAAACACTTCCGTCTGACCTTTCTTTTTCCTCTGACCCCTCCAGCCGAGAGAGCCTTAGACACCATGAACTTTGATGTGGTGAAAGGAAAACCAATCAGAATAATGTGGTCCCAAAGAGACCCCTCCCTCAGGAAATCTGGTGTTGGGAATGTGTTCATCAAGAACCTTGACAAGTCTATTGACAACAAAGCCCTGTACGACACCTTCTCTGCCTTTGGCAACATCCTCTCATGCAAGGTAGAGTTCGCCAATACTGACACTCTGGGACCGGATCATTTATTTCTTAATATTCTGAGAGTGGAATCAATCTTTACTATTAAATATTTGTGAGAAAGTGAATTGGCATGTTTTTTTTTTTTTTTTTTTGAGGTACCACGTACATATAAAAAGTCATATTCATCTATCAGGTACCACATACATATAAAAAGTCATATTCATCTATCCAGTTTCTCTTATCACACTCCAGGTGGTTTGTGATGAAAATGGCTCCAAGGGCTACGCCTTCGTCCATTTCGAGACTCAGGATGCAGCCGACCGTGCCATTGAGAAGATGAATGGCATGCTTCTCAATGACCGCAAGGTGTGAGTGTCTGATCGTTTAAGGGAACACACTCTGATTTGTGTGTGTGTGTGTGTGTGTGTGTGTGTGTGTGTGTGTGTGAGGTTGAATGAAAAACGTTTTCAAGAGGAGAAATGTTGAGTGTTTTCCAAACCCAAACACTACAATATACAGACAATAGTCTATAATTGTAATTGCTTTAGCATTAGCCGCTAACTAGCTGCATCTTTTGCAGTGTAGTATAAATTACACATGCCAACGTGTTTGGGAACTCCTAGTTTGTTGTCTGTTCTCAGTGTTGACAATACTGTGAACTTTACACGTAAATATAAGGCATTTATATGAATATATTTGTTAGTTGCTAGCTAACACGCTAACGGCTCCTATCTCTGTAATTAGCCATGGATTAAAAGGCTATTGGGTGTTCATCTGTTGGACATAAACCTTACCTTTTATAGTGTAACATAGGTAGTTTTCCAATCAAATAGCTAGGTGGTGCTAAAACTCATCCCTGGCCCTAATTATACAACTTAACATGAATATTACTGAATATTATCCAGTGTGGATGAGAGTCTAATTATACAACTTAACAAACTGAATATTATCCAGTGTGGATGAGAGCTTTATGCCGTAAACTGTTATATGTTTTGTGCCCCGTGTATCAATATGACTTGTTTGTTTTGCACTGGTGTTGGGTGAACTGACTTCACATCTCTCTGTTTTTGTTATTGTAATTTTCTGTGTGAATAATCTGACTAATAAGCTCATACCTCACTGCCTCAGTTTGGGAAATAACCAAACTGACTAAAAACTCTGTGAAACTTTTTTTTAAATTTTTTTACCTGCTTTCCATACCAGATTTTGTTGTGCCGGTCACCCGTCTCGGAGTGTTGTGTGTGTTTGTGTGTATGACCACGCTTGTGTGTTTTAGTGATGGAATCGAATGCAAGAATGCAATACTGGATGGCAGAGCAGGGGAGAGGTCATCAGAGCAAGGTATATAAGACCATCTGGTCCACCTCAGCTTTCCTTTGTACTGTGAGACTCTGTTCCTCCATCCCTCTCCATCCACCTCTAACCTTTGTGGACCAGGAATAATGATGGTTCTCACTGTGTCGTCTAGCATGTCAGCATATCTGCCTGCGTCTGGTGATATTAACAGCGATCACAGTTCTATTTTTTTGGACACTGTTTACACAAGGAACATTAATCCACATAGCGAACGTAGCTGTGAAAGTGTCTTGTGAACGTTGCCTTTTGTTGTTTTTGTTTCGAGTGCTAGCGTGCTCAGGTCTGTGTATGGAGCTTTTCTTCACCTGGAAACTGGACACGCAGTGTTTGATTTTGGGTTGAATTGTAAACTTTGTTAAACTGTTCTACAAGAGAGTTTGTCCCTACTGTCGCTCTGTTTTCAGGTTTGTGGGTCGCTTCAAATCTCGCAAAGAACGGGAGGCTGAGCTGGGCGCCAAGGCCAAAGAGTTCACCAACGTCTACATCAAGAACTTTGGCGATGATATGGATGACGAAAAGCTGAAGGAGCTCTTTGACAAATATGGTAAATTTAAAATCCGTCAATTTGTTGTCCTAACTGGAGATGTCCGATAATATCTGCCGACCCATATTATCGTCCCTATATTAGCATAATTACGTAATATGTATGTAACTGTTAACTTTTTCATAACACATGAACAGAACATTATGAACCATAGACAAGTCTTCAGCCACTAGATGGCAGCATTGCAGCTGTTTCCAGAATGCTGGAGCAGCAACTCACACAGTGGTTTGTACAGATAAATAAATAAATAGTACAAGGTGCTCAACAGTATATCATTTGGGGGGAGGGCCACCGCTATATCGGTATCAGTTGATATCAGCCTCAACAGTATATCATTTTGGGGGGAGGGCCACAACTGCCCCGCTATATCGGTATCAGTTGATATCAGGATCGGGAATGAGGTGTTTGGACAATATCGGATCATTTGTTCTTACATCTTTGATCAACGCTTTTGTGTTTTATCTTTGAAGGTAAAACCCTCAGTGTGAAGGTGATGACGGACCCCACGGGCAAATCCAGAGGCTTTGGATTTGTCAGTTATGAGAAACACGAGGATGCTAACAAGGTAAGATGCTAACAGTTGAGGCCAGTCTCTCAGGTCTGATAAAACTCCCTCTGGTAATTATTACCTTTTTCCACAGGCTGTGGAGGACATGAATGGAATGGAGCTCAACGGCAAGACCGTGTTTGTCGGTCGGGCACAGAAGAAGATGGAGCGACAGACGGAGCTGAAACGGAAGTTTGAGCTACTAAAACAAGAAAGAATCAGCCGTTATCAGGTCAGCACAAACTGGTGACTTAGTCAAAAAAAAAAGTCCATCAACATTTTATGACTAATGGGGATGAAACGATACACTCAGCTCACCATACGATTGTGAATCGCAATTCTTTGTTCACAATTTGTTTTCACGATTTGTTTTAAACAAAATGAGCTCCAGACAAATCCCATCACCAACACATGACATGGTCTGTGAACCTCACCAACTGACATTGTTCTCTTCAATAACAGAAGAGATAAAAAAGTCCCATTTCTGTCCAGAAACACTGGATCATCAGCATTGATCTGCTCTGGTTAAACTGGTCCAACTGGTCTGGTCTGGTCTGATCTGGTTAACTGTAACCAGTATATGAAAAACAACCAATATATGAAACAACAACAACAGAAGACAACAAAAACAGAAGAAGAGAAAAACAGGAAGTGGAAAGAGTTCCACTGGAGAACACTGTTGGTGTCTGTGGAACCAGTTCTTCCCACGTTCTGTTCCAACACCTGAACGTCTCTCAGCCTACGTAGGGACCTGACGTCTGGGTTTGATAGTGGGTTTTTAGGAGCATACTGCCACCTACTGGACTGGAGTGTGTAATGTCATGGTATGACCAGTGACTTTTTGAGATAACACAGCCTACTTCTTACACCTTGATGCGTGATTTTTTTTTCACACCGATTCACACCGCATCGTTACATCTCTAATGACTATTTCTTCTTCTGTTTCAGGGCGTAAATCTTTACATTAAGAACCTGGATGACACAATAGATGATGAGAAACTACGTAAGGAGTTTTCTCCATTTGGATCCATTACAAGTGCTAAGGTAGAGAAGCGGCAGACGGCGCCTTAATGTGGTTGGAAGTGGAGCAGATTCTTACGGTTGCGTTACGTATGTTCCAGGTGATGCTTGAAGAAGGTCGCTCCAAAGGCTTCGGCTTTGTGTGCTTCTCCTCCCCCGAGGAAGCCACCAAGGCAGTGACCGAGATGAACGGACGCATCGTCGGCTCCAAACCTCTGTATGTCGCGCTCGCCCAACGCAAAGAGGAGCGCAAGGCCCACCTCACCAACCAGTACATGCAGAGGATCGCTGGCATGAGGGCGATGCCGGCCAACGCCATCATCAATCAGTTCCAGCCCACGAGTGGATACTTCATGCCAGCTGTACCACAAGTGCGTCTGTCATTTTCTTCTATGGTTGAATGTGATATTTTATTTTCCTCTTAGAGAAGCCTGATGTCGGCTGGTCACGAAAAACATCAGAACCAACGTGTACTATTGAATTTACAGCTATAATTTATCTCCGCACACTGTAAAATCGAGCGTCAACACTGTTAGATCGTGAGGTTTCACTCTGCCGTATGTGTGTGAGAGTAAATTAGGGGTGTAAGAAAGTATCGATACACTGAAATATGGCAATATTTCGTTTAGCGATACCATATCAATCTCCTCCTCAGTCGTTGATCAGGCGATATTTTGTTTAGCGATACAGTATCAATCTCCTCCTCAGTCGTTGATCAGTTATTGATTTTTTCTCACAAATTCCCAGTCCAATATTCCTGGTTCATTTTCTTTTTCTTTTCTTTCTTCTCTAGTGATTCAAAATGTAGATCCCTCTGTTCCAAAAAACTAAATATATCTTCCTGACTATGGTATTACAGTATATCGCAGTATACTATATTGTATTATGATACGTATCGTATTGCTGTTTCCTCTGGTTACCAAGTGAACTTCTCAGATGACTTTGGTCATAACCGGTTCTCATTTTTCTACCATGAGTTTTTCAGGTTTTGTCTCAGTAAGAACTGAGAAATCGGAATTTACTATGATGACAATCGCCGTGCCTATAGTATCACAATATATTACAATATTGTTGTGTCTGTGTCGTGATGCGTATCGTATCACCAGACACACACCCTTAATGTAAATGTGTGTGTGTTTTTTCATGACATTTTCTTTTGTTTATCAGGCACAGAATAGAACGACATACTACGCACCAAACCAACTGGCCCAAATGCGACCTAACCCTAGGTGGCAGCAGCAAGGTGGTAGAGGTCAAGGTGAGCGTACTGCGTAGTACTGTGGTACAAGTACTATCTGATAAATCCTTTTGACGAGCGCTGATAAAAGGGAAAAATCGAACTTCTCACTCAACACAATTATCCACGTTTTACTGCCGCCGTATTTACAAAACTGAAAAATATTTCTTTGACATTGATTGATGTCTTTGATGTTGATTGATTGATTGTATTTCACAGGTGGTTTCCAGGGAATGCCCGGGTCGCTGCGTCAGCCCGGACCACGTGCCAACCTGAGACACATGAGTCCTGGCAGCAACACACAGGGCCCTCGAGGTGCGTTCAGCAACAACAGGAAATGTTCTGAATGTTGACCGACGCCTCCGTGTAAATGTACGCTGAATATACCTTTGATTGGCAGCTTCTGGCCAGACCATGGCCCCCCGTCCATCCATGGGAGTCCCCGGCCCCAGGTCCATACCTCCATACAAATATGCCACCAGTGTTCGAAACCCAAATCCTCAGGTGGTGCAGCCTATTGCCATGCAGCAGGTATGACCAAAAGTCAACATGTACCGACAGAGTGACTTGTTCAGACAGAAATCCTGCTCACCCCGGTCGTCGACCTGTGTTTTCAGGCTCAGCCAGCTGTGCACGTTCAGGGCCAGGAGCCTCTCACCGCCTCCATGCTCGCTGCCGCGCCTCCACACGAGCAGAAACAGATGCTGGGTAAGAGTAATGTTTGACTATTTTTATTTTTTAAAATACAGAATTACATGGGAAAAAATGAGAAAGAAAACCCTGAAAAAAATGACTTTGTTATAATTAATAAAATACGGCGGAAACGTGTGTACCGCTCTACCGTTGAAGGATCGTTACATAAAATAAAATAAACTGTCTTTCAGTGTTTCCTCTGTTCGTATCAGAGTCTGAATGACCTTTGACCTGTCATTTTGAAACACTGACAGATTATCTTTGAATGAAATCAGTAAATTGATTTGACTGGATTCTTTTTTAAATGAAGTAAATTAGTAAAAACTGAAGTACATTTTCACTGTGGCCCAGTACCAAATGACCTAAGGACCCGCACCGGTCCCCGGACCACGGGTTGGACACCTCCGACTTAGGCTAGGGACCTGACGTCTTGGTTTAATAGAGGGTCACAATCAATGTTGTTAGGCGCATACCGCCACCTACTGTACAAGAGTGTGTAGTGTCATGGTATGACCCTACGCTTCAATGTGATTCATTTTTTGTTTCAACTGATGTAAATTGTCACAGATTTGTATAAGTTTTAAACCAATTCTCGATGCGTCGTTACATCCCTGTTCAGTAGACAATCGTTAGTCCCAAAACCTACTGATATGTGAACGATGTTTGATCTGTGTAAGAGAAATATTAATATGGAAAACCGTAAAGTTAAACTGTTTTCTTTTTACGACTCACCTTCACACTTTTTTAGTCAAGTTATACTGTTTTTACGACTCACCTTCACACTTTTTTTTTGCTCAAACAGGGGAGCGTCTTTTCCCACTGATTCAGGCCATGCACGCCAACCTGGCAGGAAAAATCACCGGCATGCTGCTGGAGATCGACAACTCTGAACTGCTGCACATGCTGGAATCTCACGAATCTCTTCGTTCAAAGGTGTGTTTTCCCTCCTTTGTCTTTTTCTGAGATACTTGCACCGTGATCTTGTTTACGTTAATGTCTCTTCCCACAGGTGGAGGAAGCCGTCGCTGTGTTACAGGCCCATCAGGCAAAGAAGGATGCGACCCAGAAAGTGGGCAGCATGGCCTCCACTCCTGCTGCTGCCACTTCCTGAGGACTGGGTGCTTTAGATGGTGGGGGCTGTTTAAACATCACTGATTCCATTTGGTTATAATTAAGGATGTTCGATATTATCGCACGATATTACCATAATTATGTAATATCTGTAAGAATCGTTATCGGGTTTTCTCTGGATAATGACAACCCAGTAAAGCAATGCTTGGGTTTTCGCCAAATGATGTGTGCCCTAAAAATAGTTTTGGGGAAAAATGGCTGTATATAAAAGTGAAAGCCACTAGATGGCAGCATTGCAGCTCATTTTATTGATCTATTTTAATTATCAGGGGATTGTATGCAGAATGCTGCTGCTTGCACTTAACTTCCTTAACCACTAGGCCACCATTGCCTCGCTATATTGGTAGCAGTTGATATCGGAATCTGTAATGAAGTATTTGGACAATATTGGCATATCGGATATCGGCAAAAAGTTAATATCGGACATTCTTTGTTATAATTGAGTCATACATTTTGTGATGCTAATAAAAATAACGTTTGTTGTTACAGGTTGACATTCAGTCATGGGAAGAACACTACTGAGTCTCAACAGCGCCACCATCAAATAAAGAATTATGCAAAAAAAAAATCAATAAGAAAATAATTTAATTTATAAATATACTTGAAATTTTTAAGAAGCGTTACAGTTTATAGTTTTCTAAATGTGTACTACTGTAAACTGCAGACCTAAAGCAATCAAACGAACGTGTCTTGAACAAAGGCCGTTTTTTAGTGATGAAGAGAAGTTTTTTCAGAGGTTAAAATTAATTTCTTCTTTTTTTGCTGACATTTGGTGAGTAATTTGGAAAGATGGACTCCTCCTATCGAGCGTTCATAGGTGTGTGGTATTTCCAATAAAGAGTGATGAACCGAGGTCAACTTGATTCATTTACTGTGATC